GGGGGGGGGTAGGCCGTACGCTGATGGGGCAGAGTGCCTCTAACGAAGGGTTGGGTAGTGTACCGTTCGTGTGTTTAGCGCGATAGTTAGTTAGTGGTAGCCTAGGGGGGTAGGCCGTACGCTGATGGGGCAGAGTGCCTCTAGCGAAGGGGTGGGTAGTGTACCGTTCGTGTGTTTAGCGCGTTAGTTAGTTAGTTAGTGGTAGTCCTGTGTGTGTGTGTGTGTGTGTTGGCCGAGTGGACGGAGTGAAGGGAAGGCTCGTGTGTTGTGTTTGCTCGACGATGCTTCGAACGATGCAGATGCAGATGGAGTGGGTGGGTGGTGTGTTTGGTACCGCACTGCGCAGCGACTGTGCAACTCTATTGTGTTTGAGGTTATGCCCTGTATTGTGTTTAAGGTTGTGCCCTGTATTGTGTATATAGTTCTCTCGATGTTGCGGCGGGGTCATCATGTAGGCCATATGGTCGTTTAGGGGTCGTGTGGTTTTGTACTCCACTTTGCCTCATGCCGAGCTGATCGATCCGGGTCAGTGGCACCCCGGTGGCAGATTTGGTCCCGAACTTTACTAGATGGGTTCTTGTGAGCGGTTGACACCCCTATCGCAGGCGTTTCCATCAAGTACACTTAAACCTGTGGCGACTTCCGCGGCAAATTGCGTAGTTGTGCGAAAGTGCACAATCCCAACTATTGCTTATATATAGAATACAGTTCACCCTATTATAACTACCTATTATAATTAACCCTTCGACTGACACCAATACAGGGAGGTGTCTGCATAGGAACTCCCTTGGAGTGTGCCATTGGCCTGGTGCTGGGGTGGGCCTCGTCGGTGCTGTATGTGGTATCACGTATACCTCAGCTGTACAAAAACGTAAGTTCTGTGTCAACGCGTCACCTCCACCTTATGACCAGTGCTCGCTGTCGGGTTTAGCTGATTTCACGAAGCTTTTGTGGGTACTATTATAAACTTCATAGCGTTTCTCCGCTACCTCGGACGGTCAAGGATCACACATGGACTAGTTCAACCTATCAGAACGGTCTCAATACGGGTCTGTGCGTGATGAGTATTGCCATATTCGTTTCTTTTACTGAATTCGATGTCCGCTTCCCAATTTAAAATGAAACTGTTGGTTGTTACACAGTTCAATATGTGTCTGTGCGTGATGAGCATTGTCATATTCGTTTCTTTTTCTGAATCCGATACCCGCTTCCCAAATTTATAAAAAAAAATTGTTGGTTGTTACACAGTACGTTCGCAAGTCCTGCGAGGGTCTCTCTGTCTGGATGTTCTTCTTCGGAGTGATCGGAAACCTAACATACTCACGTAAGTCTGTGTTACTTGGGATAAGCGCTCACATTTAAACCACTGTCCTGCCCAGGGCTTGATGTATTGTGGCAATACTATCATTTAATATGGCGTCATTGTATTTTCTTGTCAAGTCGAGTACTCATCTGAATCGTATAGACATCACTCAGACACGTTTGTGCAAATGTGTTATGTGCTTGGGATAGTTGTGTAACACGCTCGTGCAAATTTGTTATGTGCCTGTGATAGTTGGTACAATTGGTTTATTCACGGCTTCTGTTCGAATCGAGTATTCGAATACAGCCTTGAATGCCCGTTTTCAGAGGCGTGAGTGGATGCTGCTCTAGACTCGCAAGCACTCTTGTGACGAAAATATCTGCGAGAGTATTGACTCGTGTCCAAGACAACCCATTCTTTAGGGTATAGTAATCTAGTTCTTCTCACGCGGTGCATTGGTCAGTAGGATTGCCTCCGATGGTATATGGCTCGTATATACTCACGCTATTGGCATTCTCGTTCCACACCACAGTGTCCATATTCGTAAAGTCCACCGAAGCCGACTACCTTCTCAATTCCCTGCCATACATCATCGGGAGGTGTGTACAGTAGTTCTGGGGCCGAATTTCCATTGAATTTATATTAGAGATAGTCACCGTCGCGCTGTGTATGAGTTTACATGTTTGAATCTTACCCATTCCAACCAATCCGGGTATCACAGGGTAACGTTATTGTTGTGTCTCACCACCCTATTACACACTTCTATGCGACCAGTTATCGTCTCAAATGTCCAGGCGGCAAAGCCGAACGTTTGACCACAGTTGCTATTTACATCATTATACTGTGTCGCAGATTTAGTCAGCGTTGCAAGGTTCTCTAGTTACCGTTCCACCTCCTTTTATGCATTATGTTCAGTTTGTCATGGAGCTTATCCCTTGATATCGATTACAGGATTATGTTTATACCGATTAATATCCGAGTGCATCTGTCGTACATATTTGTTGAACAGACCTCTTCCATCGCTGTTCTATAATATAAAAACTGTCTAGGGCGATGGTATTGTTTTGCCTTAATCAAGCTGTACTACACAACACACTGATTTCCCGATCATCTCATCTCCTGCCACAGTATTGGAACTCTAGGGTTTGACCTTACCATCTTCCTGCAGTTTTTTCTCTATAACAATGCCCCTGCCGGAGGCTACGATGTCATCAATTAAGCGAGCCATGCAGATTGTCGTATGCCGCGTACCTTCGAAGTCGACGGGATTAGATGATTTTGAAAGCGTTAACAGAGATTGTAAGATGCTCATGGCGTAGAGACGCATCTGAATATTTTCGATGCCAGTGTAAGATTAGAAATAAAGATTTATGCTATGCTACAAGGTTCGAACGCCAATCATATTGGGACAAATTATTACGAGGATGATAATAATTCACTTCAACGCATATATATATATAGATATATATACATATATTTATAATTTGGGATCACGATATTTATTCGTTGGTCGGGGTTGCTAACAGTTAGTACTGTGCGTGATCCACATCACAAACTACGCACAAACTGTGTGAGGTGAATTGGAGGCCCACTACTAAATTTGTGCGCACTTTCTTCAGTCACACGTAATTGGTTGTCATTCTGTCGGGGTATACTATACTTCCAGACAGCTGCCTGCCTTCAACACCGCGAGTGTTCGCCGTTGAGACTGAGGTGGGCATGAGCCCGAGGGTGTGCGATTAGAATGCACTGCTGAATTATTGGTCTACAGTATTAGGTCATGACTCACTTGACATTCGCGTTCTCAATAATCACAGTGGTGTCCAAATTGCCCCGGTTGGCCCAATTCTGCTCATTTAAGCCCACATGAATATCAATCAGGGCGGCAGTGAACGAATCCAAGAAATACATGGTAACCAGGGACATCACCAGAGCGCCGTTCAGGAACCCGGACCAAAGAATTGCGCCTGTCACAAGCTTGAACACTCCCTGAATTACAGTACCTATACTGAACATCGCAATGGTGCGCGCGTTGGCCGACCAATCACTGAATACTTCCACGTTTCTAGTTTCGAATGCGTAATACGAAAAAGCAATGACGATTGCCAATGTTGACAGGGCCCGTTCGAGTATACCTATCATTGAAATGGCACTTGAAAATTCGGCCGTTGTTCCAAAGTCTGTCTGACCATATCTCAGTAGGCAAGTACAGACTTGATACACAGCCTCGGTGATAAACCACACCAGGAGACATATAACATTAGGATACATGTATTGTTTAAGCAGCCGTTTGCGAGTGTAAGTGCGAAATTCGTCAGCGTGCTTCACAAATAGCAGATATACGGTTCGTTGTCTGGCGATAATAGCCGCGAAGAACATAATGGAAAAGAATCTGATTGCGGCCTGGGTGCTGATCAAAACATAATTGCTTTTCCAAGTCCATAAATTAGACTCACCCCCGATTCCTCCGAAAGTGAAGATGCAGTCGCCCGACAGAACGCCCAAGAATCCGAGCGAGTTCAGAGTACATACAATCGGCACGAATGGAGCCAGAGTGCATATTTGCCACAAGAAGAAGTGACCTCTGACTTTCAAAGCTGGATGTTCTCGATGCTTCAGTACTTGCGAGATATACACAATCAATATAGTGAAGTGTAGAAATCCGCACACAACCACAAGTACAATCGACAATGTGCTCCTAGGGTGACACTCGGTGATATATGCGTCTTCACTCTCCAGCAGCAATAGCAGGCAAACCAGAATTGGAACGGTCACCAAGAAGACACAGCATGCAACTATCCAAAAAGAGAGCCTGGAGAAATTTGATAGGGCCGTGCCTTGGATACCTCTAGGAGTCCGAAGTGGCAACTCACCCGCGTCTCCTGTCCCGACGTAGGCGATGTTGTTTTCAAAAACCCAACTGCCGGTGTTAATTGAACTATCGAGCGATTCCTGCGCGGAACCGCCTAGTGTTTGCCTGGGTGAATCAACGAAAGAATTCTGTTTCGAAAAATTGATCGTCAGAAGCGGCGATTTGCTGATGACATGTCTTTCAGTCTCACTAGTTCGCTGTGCAGTCCGCGAAAGAGAGACTATATCTACTTCATCTTCCTTTGTATCGTTATCAAGGCATCCATTCGTACAGGCCTTAGCCTTGTAGTCTTGCCTCCCATTGCCCGATGTAATATGTGATTCTCCCTTCTCTTCAGATTCTATTAAGCTCAAAGATGCGCTCACGGGGTCATCCAACAGCAAAGAGATAATATCACTATGCAAAGAAGCCTCCAGATTCAAATTTGCACAAGCAGTCTTTTCGGGAACCACATCATCATTTGTTGTAGGAACGTCACTCAAAAATACCCGTGATGTAGGTGTTATCATTGTTATAATTTGATTCTACACTTTGTACTAATATATATCAAACATAACTTTTCAGCTCCCAAGATATTCTGAGTGGAGAAAGTGATTTCCCTCTAACAACCAGTTTGTTTTTTATATAGTATATAGCTTATCAAACAACAAGAAAGTGAACGCGGTATCTCAGATCCCTATACATTATAATATAGAAGAGTCGTACAGCACAATCTGACAGAATCAAATGAAATCCGAAAGAAATTTATTTACCTTTTGTTGGAGTATGGATCCGGGTTACCCGATTGTTCAGCCTGTGACCACATGCCACGGTCTTAACCGACCTACAGCCTCTCAGGCTCTCTCTCTCTTTCTCTGTAGAGCTACTACTAGTAGAGAGAGTAGAGAGTGCCTACAGGCAGCTACAGGCTACAAACCTACGTGTGAATGCCTTTCAGTCATACAGACCGTCTATGTCGAATTGTCGATGTGCAGATGTACGACAAATAAATAGTAAGTACTCTGAACTGGCTTGTCAGACATCATACTATAATTGTTTTAATTATTTTGTATTTTTTTGAGTTAATATTTTTTTATAATGATTAGTTTATTCAAAATAATAATAAATATGTAGTTTGAGACTCAGCCACTCAAGGGACAAGGTTACAGTCTGCGCCTGACTCATCACGCCTGTCGACTGAGTGTCGACTGTCGCCTGTCGAGTGTCGAGGCCATTTTGTATATTGTTATTGTTTTTTTTTTGTTAAAAACAGAACAGAACAAAACAATACACATTATCATTTTACTCTTCCAGTAAAAAAATAATCTTTTGCTCTGTATGATTCACTCTGGATTAAAAACAAATCCGATTATCCGATTGTCGTACAGCATAAAACTTGTGATTTCGCAATTACATCAGATTGATGCTTGTGATGAGACTCGAGAGTAGGCCATCAGATTGATGCAAAGTAAAAAGAGTAGAAGATTTTTTTAATGGCATACAAAATCAAAAAAGAAACAATGCAAAAATAAAAACACAGCTCACATAGTGACATATGACACTGCCTTCCAAAACCTTTTGTAAACATAGAATTTAGCAATAAAAAAAAGAACATAAATTATTATAAAAATATAAAGAAAGTTCCAAAGTTCAAAGTCCACTTTGACTACAGAACTTCAGAAGTCTTAGTCCTGGACTCCAGTACTTTCGAAGTGCAGACTAACGAGACTGCCACAGAATCACCTGAATCACAGATATATATTTAAAAAAAAATACAGACTTCACGTTCTTCAGTTCTGTCACTGTGTTGTCTTACTCGTCTCTGATCAGTGATATCTCTCTCGAGCGAGAGAGTAGACTGCGAGTCTTGGACTTTATATATTTTTTTACTAAAAAATAGATAAATAAAACAATAGCTGTTTCATGATAGTGTTAAAATAATAGCTCTTCCGGACTCAAAGGCCACTCCCTGAGGCTCCCCCAGCATAGAGGGTCCTTCTGTCCCACAAATCGGATAAAAAAAGTTAAAAACGGAGCCAATGTATAGTCTGTATTGTAGATATTTGTTAAAAGTGTTGCCGGACTTCAAAGTTCCATTTCTACTCTTCTACTATTAGATTCACTTGTTCCCGCCCACTCTTCCTCAGTCCTCACCTCCTACCCCTACCATAGAGAGCAGAGAGTGGACAGCCAGGGAGACTAAATAACTCCTTTAAAAGTTTGACTTTATATTTTTATACAAAAAGCTCTAGAGATAGTCACTCAGACTCACTCTACTACTGCGACTGAGAGTCTGAGACTCTGAGAGGGTCATGAAAATTTGTTATTTTGTAAACTAAATTTATATTTTGCTTTGTCCGCTAAAATCATCTAATTTTATCTCCATTTTTATTGCAGAAGGGAGTATACATACAACCATTTTGGTTTGAAAACAAATAAACTGCGCTGTTTCCTGTGTGGACTGTGGACTCGCGTGGAGTCTATTTAACATTTTCTCTTTGTATTTGTTGTTTTTCTTATTGGTTGTTGATGTTTAAAGAAAAATAAAACAAAAACAAAAATACAGTACAAAATCGAGAGAGAAACTGAAAACCACGAGACACGAGTCGTTATGGGGGTACAAAAAAAGAATTTGAACGTAAACGCGTAATTATATAATTTAAAAAAAAATGTTATATAACGGCTATAATGCGAACAGAAGAACCTGCCTAAGATCTTTTTATAGGACTGGTTTGTATTGCAAGAACGTTATTCACCTCAATATTTAGATCCAAAAGGATCACCTATTAGCATACAAAGCACCGCATATGGAGTAAAAGTTGATTGTAAACGTATACTTATTTGATTTATAAAAGCTTTAACGGGAAACGGCTTGAGGTTAGACTACGAGTACGAGTAACGAGACTACGAGTCCACGACAAAAAAAATGGTTGTAGTCTTGGAGACTGACTGATGTGCTATATTTATAATGTTTTTATGTTTTTGTTTAAAAAATAGAAAAAATGCCACTAACGAAGGAAGTTTTGAATTTCAATGGGCCTTTCTCGAAGTATATTGATGGTTTCAAATCCGCTTTAAATTCACTTTTTGTTGTCCGATGTCGAAAAATCGGGTAAGAGGGACTAAAAGCAAATAAGAAAAATAGTATCGTTGAGCTTCACCGTTCCGGCGTTCCCGGAGTCGGGACTCGGGAGACCTTCACACATTCATATGTATTAGCCTTCTAAATCAAACAGAAGGATAGATAATATGTACATATTATATATATTACGATTGTGATTCTTTTGAGTAATAAACGACGAGTTGTCAGCAACTTTAGCTGGTTAGCAATCAGAGTTCTAGGCTCGAGAAAGTGTTGTCAGAACGGCGCTCAACGCCGACGGCCATCTACACGTAGGACCCTTCGCATTGCCCTGTTGAATGTTGTCTACTGTGTCTATTTATTGAGGTGGCTAAAATGAATGCCACGGCTTACGAGGCCATGGCCACGGGCATCTGTTACGGTAGAATATCGGACTACGTGGTGACTGGAAAAGTCGGACAGGGGAAGTATTCACAAGTATTCAGTGCCCGGTCTAAGGTGCGGCCGTCGACTGACAACGACTGCGTTGTGAAAGTGAGTTGGATTTTGAAGTTAGTTCTCTACGCGTTCTCATATATATATATATATATATATATATATATATATATATATATATATATATATATATATATATATATATATATATATATATATATATATATATATATA